TACGAACTCTGTTAGGCAAGTTATTCTAGGTTCATTTGGTGCAGTCTGAAAAACCCATTCTGCAGTCTTTTCTGCCAGCTTCCCAGCATGAAGAGCAGGCCTGAAACAGCCTCTATTTATACCCCCTTATTCGTTTTTGGAAGATCAGTTGTTTCATTGGAGAGAGGGGGAGAGAGAGAGAGAGAGAGAGGGACAGCACGAGCAGTCGTCAGGGAGTGTGCTTTGTACGTTATAGTGACTTCAAAATAAAACTGGCACATTTTAGTGTCTAATTATTTTTAGTGAGCTTGGAGGGTTTTAATTAAAATTTAAGAGTGCTCTTCAAGCTCTCCAAGCTCCAATTTTATCCCACTGTATTGTGGAGCACTTGTCACTGTGGAAAAATGTACAGTAACTGGCATGTGTGTCTCTGTTTCCTAATGAAAAATGTGGGATGGATGAGCAGCAGGAGTATAAATACATATAGAGTCAGAACTAGTTGTAAACCAAGGTCAAGGTACTTTTGATAAGTTATCATTGTTCTTGAATACATAGAAAATTTATTACATTTGAAATGTATGATTCTTATGGTAAAAATAAAAGGAATTGATTTAATATTCTCTTAAAATTAAGAGTTAATAAAGCAGGAGGAAATCTACATACTGGGGCAGCAGTCATTGTTTTTCCTCCTAAAATATTTTAAAGGTATTTTTCATGTCATGTTTCTAATGTTTTAGCATTTATAACTTTATCACTTTGAGGCAAAAGGAATAGTGTTTATTCACAGGTGAATTATTTTAAAGTACCTGTGTCCAAAAATATTTCCCGTTATTCTTTCCTATTCCCCCATGCTTTAGTTTTATCAATGATTTATTTATTTACTATCTGACACATTTTAAATAACTTCACTTTGTGCAGAATAGGAGTTAATACTGCGGTGGCTTTAACTAGGAATAATTTAAAATTGTTCCTAAAATATTATCATACATGTTAGGAAATAAATAACTCTCGTTTCAAACTTCTCTTGTATGGTGAAATTGTTAGCATGATAAAACATTCTTGACTCACCTGGCCTGAAACGTAGATACTTAGGAAGCAGAAACATTGCTTTGCAATCCATTATGCAGGATATTTATTAAAAATTATCTCTGAATTGTGTTTTTACTTTTTTCTTTAGAAAACGTTTCTTGGGGCGCCTGGGTGGTTCAGTTGGTTAAACGACTGCCTTTGGCTCAGGTCATGATCCCAGAGTCCTGGGATCGAGTCCCACATTGGGCTCCCTGCTCATCAGGGAGCCTGCTTCTCCCTCTGACCCTCTCCCCTGTCATGCTGTTTCTCTCTTTCTCTCTCTCAAATAAATAAATAAATAAAATCTTAAAAAAAAAGAAAAAAGAAAACGTTTCTTGAAAAACTTAAATTGCAAAGGAAAAGAGAAAAACCAAAAACTATGTGGCTAAGAATTAATTTTAACATGTCAAAACCTTTTACATCCTTGATTAAAATACAAGCAAGAATTGAAGTCCAGCTCTTGATTTTTGAGTCTTGTTTTGATCACATTATTTACAAAAATTAGACAAGATAAATGTAAGAAAGTCCTGCATTTCACTGAATATGTATTAGTTTAGGGACACTAATTCTTTCAAAGTAAGATGAATTAAAATTGGCATTTTCCACTTTTATGCTGAAATATAATGGCTTACATTCTTTTTAATGTGTACATATCATGGTGACTTTTTTTTAAATCTCGGAATGTTGTGGTTCTTTCACTTAATTTCGAAAAAGTATGTAGTTCCTCTCCTATTTTTTTAGCTGAAGACAACTCAGTCAAAATACTAAAATTTGAATAATCAAACTCAGAGAGTAAAATATGTATATATCGTTTCATGTTTTGAGAACGCAGAACTACTGTAAGTATATTAGTTGTTTTCAAGTCAATTGTCTAAAACATATTTTTCTATATAAAATAATCCAAGAATATCTGAGTGATGTTCAGTCCTTTTATTCCATTTGGAATCCTCTGTGACTACTCAGTCCCATGTACATAATACAAACTGGGCTTCTTACCTTATTCTGACCTCTTTGGTTTTTGCATTTGTGCGTGATCAGAACGGGGTAAAGTCTGATCTGATCAGTTACCTCTGTACACTAGTGTCCTGTTAATGTAGTTGAGGGATGTGCCACACAGAGGATGAATACTTGCTTTTAATTTGCACCCTTAGCTGGATATTGTTGAGTGGGAAATCTGAAAATACAAATTTTCATTTACAACTTTATCTCTTACATATTTCCTCATTCCAAGTCAGAAACCTGTCGGCGGCGGCAATAGTGTCCTTCACCTGTGTGGTACTTGTTAACAATCTGTACCTTCTGGCCTTTTTCCCCTCATCTTACTTGTTTCACATTATAGTATGGAGCATGCTTAACACTAATTGTGGCATGCCCTTTGAGGTTTGGCAGTCAGATAATTAGGTGAGAAAGCTGAGAGTTTTTCAAGAGACTTCCTGAGTTTTGAATCTTCCTGGAATCTCTTAGAATGGAGATTAAATTCGTAAGGCTGTATGCAGTGACTTCTATTGTCCTGTAGTTAAAGGCAATCAGTGATTGTTATTAAATATTTTCATGAGTTGTAAATATAGACAAGGAAAGCCTGCTTTATTTTTCTTCCCCTCAGTTTCTTCTACCGAAATGGGAACTCATATTAACTAGATTAACTTAGCATTATGGTGAGGATTAATTTTTTAATAGGAATGTGAAATGCTTTGATGTAATTAACCATTTTATTAATGAGTAGCTTTTATGTGAAGCTGTGTACACATGGTCTGATTTATGTTTGAAGTGTGTGTTCCTGTTGTCCATACAGTTCTATTTTTCTCCCATGAAGCTTCAGCATTCTTTTCCTGGAGCTCTGAAAGATTTCAGGTCTATTTATAGAAATGAGAGACATATTTTAGCCTGTTTTACATTTAGTGTGTATATAATCCTAGTTTATGAACTTGCTCTGAATTTGTGATCATTACTAGTAAATTGGGCTTTTGTCTTTTACTATTATAATATATGCTCTCAACTCAAATTTGAACCAAACAAATTATGCTTTAGCATTTGTATCAGTGATTATCAGTTTAATGCAATGTTACAACATGTATGAAAGGGTTAAAAGAAAAAGCACTAACAAAACTGGGTAGGATAGGAACTTGAAGACATTTTGTTGATTATTCTTATCCATGATCTGCTGTTATATCGATCTCTCTTAGAAATTGAAACCTGATTTGGGAAAAACTAATCTCTGTTAGGCATGGCTTTGAGGATTTACTTAACTCCCAAATTTAGTCTTATCATTTTTATTACTTTAGCATAAAAGCAAAATATGTATAGAACAAAGTATATACCTTGTTTTTGAATTTAAAATAAAAGTAGCAAGAGACCATTTTGGAAATTAAATGCAAACTGATATATGCATATGCACATAGGTTCTTTTGGAAGATCACTCGGTATCCAGTTTTTAATTATGGTAGTAGATCACTTGTTGAAGCCTAAAAAAATAATTAATAGGAAAGAATAGAAGAAAAGGAGGAGGGAAAGATAGAGGGAAGAAGGAAGGGAACAGGCAGTGAGATTTCACTTAATAGAATCAAGCTGACTTCTATTTAGAAAGAACTTTAGCTTCTGTGATAGTGAGCTAGTATGGTTGGTGTTCTTCGTCAGCCATTTCACGACGCACTGATCTGGATTCCATCCATTCCTTGATTGATTGATCATGTCATGGACAAATGTTAATTGTTTTCACCAATACTTTCTAACGATGCAATGGTCTTCTCATCTCTTACCTAGGGCGTACTGTCTTTTTCTAAAGCTTATCTAGTTTCTAAAACCCTTGAGATCCATCTTGACCTTAATGTCATTCTGAAAAATTCAAGGAGGATTTAGAAGTTGGAGAAAAAAAATGAAAGGGAAAATGCTAAAGAGATAGGTACTGACATGGGAGAAGAAAGGCATTTGGAATTGGAGTAACTATTTTAAATATAATTTTAAAAAGAAGTTATCAGAATTTTGACACTTGGAATGTTAAAGTTTAATGGGAGTATGCTTTGCACCGAGGATTTAGTATTTAAATCTGCATTCCCTTTTGGAAGCATGGCCTATTTGTTAAGATTTGAAGCTTAACAGATATATATAAATAGTTGTAAGCAGTAGCTCTAGTTGCAAACCCATCTGAATAGAGACAAAAAAATAACTCATTGAAAAAAATTTGCTAATTATTAGGACATTCTAAAATTTAAATTTCTGTAATCTTTGTGAATCTTTATAGAAACAACTATAATTACTCTCTATAAGTTAGTATGTTACTTAGATATGCAATAGGGCAAGTAGTGTTAACTTAGTATTTCCTTTATAAGACTATATATCCCTTTCTATATAAGAGAAAACTTTCAGTTTTTATTACTGAGGGATGGAGAACATCTTGACTTTATTTTCTTTGAATTTTTCTCTAAATGGGTATTTTACAAAAATTGCCATATATTATTTCTTTTTTTAATGACTAAGTGTTTACACTTTGGTTTCTTCTCCCTTGAAGATTTGTCATTCTTCCTTGAAGAGCACATGCATTTTGCTTAGACTTAAAAAAAAACCACCTGGATTAAAAGGAACAACATCTAAGCTTAAACCTATCATAGGAAAGAGCCCCCTTTTCTGTCCTGTCAGTCTAAGAAATGATAAATGTGACTGAATATTAATAGAATTATATTTATAATACCAAGATAAAATTATTAAGCATTATCTTTTTTCCTGGGAATAGTTCAAATAATCTTCTGGTAAAAATAAATTTAGTTGTGGTATTTTGTGATAGATATGGTAATATAATTGTCTGTATCCTAGGGTTAAAACAACAATGAAAAATAGCTTTGATCATTTTTAAATGAGAGAGTTTCTCCATAATCTGGCTTTTTTGGATTTGTAATATTTTAATACTTAAAAAATACATATGTAATATTTTTAATACTTATTTTTTTTTACTCTAATAGATTCCTCCTGCATGGAAAAACTACTTTCAAAAGATTGGAAGGAAAAAATGGAAAGACTAAATACCAGTGAACTTCTTGGAGAAATTAAAGGTACACTATATGAAATATCAAACATGTCCGTGGAGAGAATGTTGTTTTGTATAACAACATGCTTGCTGATCTCTGTACCCTAATATTAAATTCTTACCTCTAATATTTGTTTATATATGGAGGGTAAATGTATAGTGTGTCCTTGAACTTTTATTCTTTATAATGTTTAGAGAATGAAATTTTTCCTTCTCTTTTTATTAGTCTATAAACATATAAATTATAAGATAAATTGCTTCATTAATTTACTTAACAGAAAGGTATGAAAAAGAAACAAATGTCAAAAGATGAAGAGCAAATTAAGTTAAAGGTAATTTTAGTCTTTCCTCTTGAAATCATAATAATGTCTTAATTTATGAATCCAAATCATTAATTTGAATTTTTTCTGGTCAAAAAGGGTCAAGGGTAGCACCTATAAAAACAAGTTTATAGAATGTATTGTACATAATAGTTTATGGGTGGATTCTGAGGCTTGGTTACCTTTTTTGAGTCCTGGCTCTGTCACTTACTAGCTGAGTGACTTTGGGCAAGTCACTGAAGTTTTCTGTTTCAAATTCCTTGTATCTAAAATGGGAGAGTGAGAGTTTCTACCTCATAGGCTCATTAAGAGGATTAATATAAGTAAAGCTTTTAGAACAATTCCTGGCACTTAGAAACACTCATGAGGTTAAACTGTGGTCACTGTTTTTATTAAGATACCCATAGGATCATAGGTTGATTAATCTCAAGCAGATTTCATAGGATTTAACTTTTCATGACCTCTGATCTTGATGAGGATGAGCATCTTTAGTTCTGAAGATTTGTGATTGATGCTATTATTTTGAAACATGTTAAGAACCATTACAAAATTAAGTTTCCTTATCAGTCAGGAAGTTCTTCTTCTTCCCTAAATCTCTCTTGTTGATGCTTTTGTGGAGAAGAAGTACTATATTACTAGTTTTGGTATCATGAGTATAATCCATGGTCTCTAATTCTATCAGTTGTCTCTTACAGAGAGACTCTTTTCACTCTGATTTGCACTAACAATTTGGGAATTTACATTAGTTTTCTGAAGTTACAAACAACATCAGGTGAATCCTTCTATTGGTCATGGATAATGTCTCATTTAAGATAAACATCTGGCAATTACTATTTGGTGAAAATGTTATTTTTAATTTATTGCAGAAAATTGTCTAGTGTTCAGGGATGTTGTGTTCAATTCAAATGAAGACAAAAGGAAGTCATCTCTTTCCCAGGAAATGATTAATAACTCATTCCATTAACTAATATAGTATTAAAATTAAGTGGAAATTGGATATTATTTTGAATCTCACTGCTTCTGTGCTGTACTCATAAAGGCTATTTGCTATTTTGGGTGAAAAAAAACTTAACTTATAACTGACGGGTAGAAAGAAAGTCATTAGTGACATATTTCTCTATCCAGCTGCAATAACATGTTGTGTGCTACTTTGCACGTCATTCTGTGTTTTCTATCCTTTCCAAAGTCATTGGTTTTACAACAGTGAGAACAGAAATGGTTTGTGCATAGGCAAGCTTTTGCCAGCATGAATGATGGGGGTCTTGCTTTTTCTTAGTTATGTGGAAGCTAACATTTTATTGTGTTATGATTCCGCATCAAGTTTTTATACTTTGGGTTAACTCCTCCCCCTTGATCCCCTTTCCATCTTTCTTTATGTTTCATTCTGATTATGAATTTATAATGTGAAAACTACACTAGCCTGAGATGGTCAAAATGTTTAAATCTTGAAAGCAAAAACACATACAAAATTAGGCTTTTCAAACTCTTTAACTTTTTTTCTGGATTCTTTATGTGATATGTGAACTTTGATTTGTGTGCTGCTCTCAGTTTTATAAGCATAGGAGGTAAGGTTCTTACTAAAATTTTCATTTTGATTTACTCTACATAATTGTCTCTTTTTACAACCTAGTATTTTGTTACCATAAGTATTATACACAAAGCATGCCAATAATATAAGAACTGACATGAAATTTAGTTTAAGTTGATTCAACCACTGCTAAAACTTAACATGCATTTTTAGTCTCGGTGAGATCATGCCAGTTAGTTATTATCCACCTAAATTAGTTATAATTATTCTGAAATTTTAGAATGGTTTAAATACTATCCCCAAGAAATACATTCTATTGTGGGTTATCAGTATTTTATATCACAAGCTCTGTGCATTTTTCATACCTCTTATTATTTTTCCCTCATTACATATTTAGTGTAAAAAATATAGAAATACAAAATAAAATTAATTAATTATTTCTACCTATATTATGTTATTTGTCCTTTCCATTTTAATTAATACATGTATTTGTTAAATTTTTTACCTTAAAATTAGAATCATCCTTTTACTCTCCTTTTATAAGCTGTTCTTCCCACTTAATGATATATTGTCAATTTCTCTGTGATTAAGTCATCTAAAATGCTATTTTTACTTACAGAAAATATTGCATAAACTGAGGTTCTCATAATTTAACTGAGTCTTTTATTCAACATTTGAAGTTTTTTATTATTTGTCATTATAAAGAAAAACTTGAATATGGATAACTTTTTAATAATTTTCGGTATTAATTAGTGGTTATTTTCTTAGGATGTATTCCTAAGAAGTGAGATCCCTGGGTCAAAGCATGTGTTCTTTTTTAAAAAGTCTGGGTTCATACTGCCAAACTGCCCAGTAGAAAGGGTACAATGTGCTGCCCTTACCAACGGTATCTGCAAGTATTCTCTTGCCCTCAATGACAAGTATTGTTACTTTAAAAATTTCTTGCTGGTTTTAGTAGAGGGAAAGGGTACACTACTGCTGATTTAACTTTCTTTGGTTATTATTGAGAATGAAGCATTTGACATAAATTTATTTGTATTAAATGTCTCTTCCTTTGTGAATTGCCTATTTATGTTGTTTGTCCATTTTTCTTATTAAAGGATTTGTCTAGTTCTTATGGTTTTGTAAGACTCTTACTGTATATTTTAATGGTATTAACCTTTATCTGTCATATATGTTACATTTTATCATTTTCTTTTACTTTATGGTTTTTGTTGTCAAATCTTTCCCTCCCTTTTAATGCTCTTTTATGTTGGGGGTTTGTTTAGAAAGGCTTCCCCAGCTCTGCTATATTTTGTTCCAATTCTTTGACTATATTTTTATTCATTTAACTCTTTAATTCGTCTTGAATATATTTTGATGTGTAATTTCAACTAGAGATAAAACTTAATTTTTTTCTTAAGCCATTAACCAAATATCTCTGTATTATTTATTAAAAACCCATCTTATTCTTCTGACTTGAAAAAACATCTTTTATCACACTGATTGCAAATTTGAAACCATTTCTCAGTTTTGGGTTCTAGCCTATTGATGTATCTAAACTTTCATTAGTATTGTACTATAGTATCTTTGAAAAGTAAATATTGTAAGACCAAATTCATAACTTTCTTTAAGGTGTTTGCATACTTCTCTAAAGTTTATTTTAGGCTTACTTTAACTTAATTGTCAATTAAAATCCCAAAATAATTTTTTGAAAGGTTATATGTATATGAAACTATAGGGTGAATTGACATCTTTATAGTATTGAATCTTTTCATTCAAAATCATTTATTCTTTTATGTCCCTCAACAATAATTTGTTTTTTAAATATAGATTCTGCGTGTTTCTTTTGATGTTTTTGCTGTAATATTTAATATTTTTGCTTGCTCTTGTGGATGAGATATTCTTCACTCAGTTTTCTTTTTGTTACCATATTTAGGGATGCTAGTGAATTTTGCTGGTTCATTTTATAACTTTCCTCTTTATTGAACTTATTAGCTCTAGTCATATTTCAGCGGATATGTTTTCTCTTTTTTGGCAGTTATATGTCCCTTTTTTTATCCCTTCTCATATTACACTGCCTAGAATATCAAGAATGATATTAAGTAATACACGTGATGGCAGGTATTTTGTGCAGTTTTTAATTTATGGAATTGTTTTTAACATTTCACCACTAAGTATTAAGATATTTAAGACATTCTTTATTATTAAAAAAAATTCTAGTCATAGTTTATTAGGAGTTTCTATGAAAAATTGCATTTTATCTTATGGCGTGTCTTCTTGTTTTTTTTTTTCCAAATTTACTGATGAAATAAACCCTGATTACTCATGGTGTAGTCCTATTTTAATGTACTGACTAATGGTATTTGCTCATATTACAGTTGTTATTTTTGCATCTGTAATCACAAATGAGATTAGTTTGTGTTTTTCTTTATTTGTACTATCTTTGTTAATTTTTAGTACCAGAGTTCATGGTTGAATTGGAAAGCTAGGCTACGTAAAGTATTGAATAGATAGCATGAGAATTACTTATTCCTTGAAATTCTGAAAGAATATACTCATAAAACATCTAGGCCTAGAGTTTTCTTTGGTAATTTTTTTTTCTTTTTACATTGCCTATTTCCCTTTAAGTCAGTTTTTCTAGGAAAAACATTTCCTAGAAAATTGTATGTTTCACTGAGATTTTCAAATATATTAATATTGATTTAAAGTACAGATCACTTATTTTGTTTTTTATTTGCTGTTATATATTCCATTTAAAATTTTGCATATTTGTTTTATATCCCTTTTTTTCCTCAATTTTACTTGCCAGTGGTTTTTCTGTTTATCTCTCCTCCCAACACCCCAGTAAGTATCCAGTTTTGAGATTTATTTCTCAATTCTACTGCTTTTCAGAATGCCAACTACTTCATCTTGCTTTTACCTATATTATCTCTCCTTTGCTTATTTTCCTTATACTTTTTCTTTTGTTTCTGATACCCTTTAAGTTCCTAAATTGAATACTTCATTTTAAACATTATTTCTTTAATAATAAAGGTACTTTTCGCCATGAATATACTTGTAGAAATGGCTTTATGCATCCCATAAATTTGAGCTTTTAGAATTCTCATAGTCATTATTTTCTAAATAGTCAATATTTGTATTATTTTCTACCTGATCTTATATTTATTTATATATTCTTAACTTTACATCTTTTGG